TTTCGGGTTATGAGAGTAGAAAGGATTTAGTTTGATGAAATTAATTAATTTTAATGCTTATAAATTTGAGAATTGGGAATGCTATTAAATCTGGAATTTTAGCTAAAAGCGAAGAAGAAGAGAAATTGTAACGGGATCTTTGAGTTTGAATGCGGATACATATATGTATACTTGGGTGTTGACCGAAAGTCAGAGGAAGTTAGGCTTATTCTGTATTAATGAATTTACTATTTTATGTTGTGCATTTTTGGTAAATGGAAGGAGTAAAACATTAGATATATATGTATATGTGCTGTAAATAAAGGGCAGTGGCTGTTTGATATTTGTGAATGCTACGAAAGAACTTAAAATGATCGAGTTAAGGATTAAGGATGCATAAGACATGCTTAGAAGCAATAGAATGATGTTTGAGCTTTGATATTGATGCTGGAAAATTTTATAAAAGTGAATATTTTAGAAAACCGAAGGGTGTTTGATTGAAACCAGTGATGCTCTTTGATTAATTGACGGTTAGCTATTTAAATTAGGTATTAAGTGTCAAATGGTAGATTAAGGCCGGTTACAATCTTCAAAGGATCCATCTTGTGCAAACTGGAAAAGGATAATGGTTTAAAGAGTGTTTGAATGTGGAAAATAATTTCAGATTGAGAGTAGGAATTAAGCATTATGGGGTATTAGGTAATAGTTAGGAAAATGAATTGGAGATGGAATTTGACTTGGTTTTGCTAATTCATGATTATGAACTATGAGTCATTGTTTAAAGGTATAGGAGATCACTAAGGGTTCAATTGTGAATGTTGAAGTAAGTATCCTAAATTAAATAAATTTGGTTAGAAGAAGGAAAAGAATTTGTAATCTGTTAAGTTTGAGATTTTGGAGGTAATTTAAGAGAAATCAAAACGGGATGAGCATGTTTGGATGATGATTGAGTAATTAAGAATGAACATAAAAATTTATAGGAATTGAGACAAGATGTTTGAAGTTTGGGGTTTTAATTTGATTGAAATTGAAATTAGAATCAAATTGATTGCGTAAGAATTCAAGAGGAAGAAACAAAGTTGTCGATACACACACACACACCTATGCATATCTTTCGGTCAAGCTTATTAAGAAAGAGATTGGGCTTGCTTGATTTGAATTCAAATAATTGAAGTTAAAGGTTAATGATAGAAGGTAGTCAAGTGTTTGGTTGAAATTCTGAATGGCTTAATGTGGATTCAAATGATTGAGTTATTTGACTAAATTTCAAACAAGGGAGTTTGAATGTGTGTTCATAAATGGCTGTACGTAAGTCACAGTCATTCAGACTTAAGTTTACTTGATTGAAACTTGAAAGCAACCGCATATGAGTGTGATTGAATTGTGATTAGTTAGAATGGGAAGATGGTGTGTAGACGCTATATTCAATATGTGTGTGTGTATGTTTTCCATGGCAACCAACCACTTGATAAAATGGGGAAGGGGACATGACATTGTCCCTAAGTATAGAAACTAAATTAATAATTTTGTCAGAGATGACCAATCATCAAGTGAGGGTAGAGATTAGAGAGATTTGGGAAATTAAGGAAGTTATTCAATTCTATAAACTGAAATTGGATCAAGTAGAAATCTACCCTTGCCTATGTAATAGGTTTTGACATGTGTCTAGGCTCACCAAGAAAGAAGAAAGAAAGGATAACGGTAAGGTTTGAACAAAAGAGGCCTGGGTAGTAGTTCTTTCCTATCTTACACTTGTGTATGATTGCTGCATGTCTGTTTTGTGTCATATCACTTTTTTAAAGCATGAGAACATGTAATCCTTAATTTCTTGCATAGATTATTTAGCCGTGATCACGTGCAGTTGATAGACATAGGCAGCATCTGCCAATTATTTACGTATTATTTATTCAACTTGTCTATCTATCATTACGAATAAATGCTTGATTGCATTAGCTTACAAGGTTATATTCAAATTTGGCATTAGCTTGTTTTGTATGCTTTATGAAATCTGCATTTGTGTTAGTTGGAAATTACTACTACGGGAATTCTCCAAATTCTCATCCTCCCTTCCTATAATATACAGCTAGGACAAGCAGTTCCAAGGGAAAAGAAGTAGATTTGTAAGCAAGTGGGCTAGTTGAAGAGCAGGGATGCATGCTTTATTTTGTATATGATTAATAAAATAAAATGATATTAACATTTCAGTTTATACCTATATATCTATGATATATGGCAAGTAATTATTACTTGCTTGTCATAAATGTTAGTTTGTATCCTTCGTAAGGAGGCAAGTATTGTCGTGCACAGGTACTTGTTGTTGATCAAGATGGCTGTAGTATTTTAGTATTATATTACAGGATTTCTCTGTATAAGATCATCCCAGGTGAGAGTAAGCATGTTTAAAGACAAGGTCTGGTAGATCACTCGTCAGTTACTCTAAAGGTTTCAAATATTTGATTGACGGATTCTAATGTTGAAGGAAAAAAAATTGGCCCTCCTTTTCCCAGGTCGAAAACTTGGTGTTAGTGAGTCACAACATTGTAGTGACCCTATTAGTATATAGAAAATTAGGTGTTGCAAAACCAAGGTTGGAATTCTTGTTGAGAAAGGTGTCTAACATTATCTCAAATAGAATTGTCTCTAATAAAATTATACCTATGCTTAACAAAAAAAAAAATCATGAAACGAATAAGAAGGGTATATGCTTGTCAACTTATAATTGACCCTCCTCACCTCCCATCCCTTCCCCTCCAACCAAACAAACCCATAGCCTCTCCTCTCCTCAACCTCCCCTCAATGGAGCTAAACAAATATCTTTTTTTCTTGTTCTTTTTTGAGAAAATTCATATGTTAGTCTTTCTTAGTAGTCTTTTAATTTTTAAAACTCACTTTTAAACCTCTCAATTAAAAGTCCATACAACTCAATTTCTAAACTTTTGACATGTGTGTAACTTAGTCATTCATCTTTTAATTTTTTATATTATTATCCTTACTATTTATAACTCATCTTATGTGGTAAAGTTTTGTTTCCAACTCAGCTCCACATGGCTTCTCTTTCCAGAGAACTCCATGCCACTTCAGGGCTTCGCCATCTTTTCTGATGCTCCCCAACTCGGCGTCATTCCGTTCAGCCCAGCCACCCCTTCAACTTTGCAGCGCGATGACACCGTCTCCCATGCTTGTCAGCAATAGTCCCTCCTTGCTTTATGAAGCAGGAAACTAAAGACCATCAGAAAATGCTAAAAGCAAACGCAATTACTTTTACTTATGCTAGCTTATTAAAAAAATTGCCCGGAAATAACCCAAAGCATTTGAATGACGAACAGATGCTTGAAATATTACAACACTCGAGTAAAACTTGATGTGAGGGAAAACGTATGATTTAGGATTCGGAGTGAATGACTCTTGCTGATAAGCATGGGAGACGGTGTCATCGTGCTGCAAAGTTGAAGGGAAAGCTGAACGGGATGACGCCGAAGTTGAAGGGAAACCTAAATGGAATGACGCCGAATTGGGGAGCATCGGAATATGTGGTGAAGGGGCATGGAGTTTTTAGGAACGAGGAGCATGTGGAGCTGATTTGAAAACAAAACTTTACCACATAAGATGAGTTATAGATAGTAAGGATAATAATATAAAAAATTAAAAGATGAGTTACTGAGTTACACACATGTCAAAAGTTCAGAAATTGAGTCATAGAGATTTATAATTAAGGGATTAGGTTATAAGTGAGTTTAAAAAGTAAAAGATTATTAAGAAAGACTAACATATTATTTTTTTCTTTTTTTTATTTAATACAAATGCGCAGATGAATATATTAACATTGGATTCAAACTCAAAACCTTATCTATCTAAGCATGGCTTGTTGGGGCAATTAGCCATTGACAAAGGCATGCTATTTAAATTTCTTGATGAGAATACAGTATTAACTAGCTTTTTTTCACTTTTAATGCAATTATATAGTATAATTTTTTGTCTTTGCCCTAAATGAAATCTTCCAATAAAGTGATATACTAGCAATTTTGTTAAAAATTGATTAATAATAAGTTTCTCAAAATACTACCTTTGGTTCTTGATATAAAAGTTAGTTTAACTTTTAATTTAGTCCTAAATATAATATTTCAATCCATTTTATTTTTCATATTTTACTATTTTTTTCTAAAGTAATTTTTATAGTAGTTGCACATGTTAAAAATTTTAATCAAATGGTAATTTTAATTAATACACATAATTATTAAGAGTATTTTAGTAAAAACAACACCTATTTATTATAAATAACTAATTTAACAAACTTTCTCAATGTATTCAAATTAGTTAATCTAGTCAATTAACTTTTATATTAAAAATCGGATATAGTATAACAATAAAAATAATAAAGTTAATACTAAAAAACAAACTTTTACAGAAATAACGAGAGGTCTTTTAAAAATATTACTTGATTAGAGTCATAAGCCCATTATTGTAAGACTTTGAAATCAAAGTTCTCTTGATGACAAGGGGGAAAAAACAAAACAGAAATCAAAGTTCCACTTTCGTAAAAGCAGCCGAAGTTGAAATTTATCAAATACTCTTGTCTAGTGTATAAATGTATACATTTGAAATCTTGCGAGTTTATACAAATATAAGTATGTCATCAGAAGATTATGATTTCGTATATAAATGTTTTCAAACGCATTTTTTCTTTTAAAAATGATTTATTTGTTTTCATTCTTTGTCCCTTTAAAAATTACAATAATCTCACATTACGGGGAATGGGAGATCATTCACCAATGTTAATTCCTAAAAACTTCCATAAATCATTGTTATGCATGACCTCTTTTTTTTTTTGGGAAAAGAAAAAGAAAAATGTCAAACGGTCTCATTTCAAAAATTGAATTCTTTTTTTTTAATCGAAAAATTAAACGATTGCTTTACATCATCAAGAACTCGTTGAAAAAGGATATATGGCATCTAATTATACCAATAGATCATGATTATCTTAATCACTCAAATACGTTAAGATAAATCCCAAAAGAAATAGCTTTGTAGAAGAGATCATTTGAAACCAAACCAACAAGACAAAAGTTCATATCAAGCGAATGTGCTCAAATTGCATATATAACAGTATCTCTCTAACACAAATTAAATCTTCTCTGTCCTCTGTATTGAACACTGTCTAAATATATAGGCATGTAATGATATTCAACTAAAACTACGTACCTACTAGCATCTTATTAAAAAGGTTAAAGTAGTTGCAAATGGAAGTCGACGATGGAGAGAATATATAGCGCATGCATCCTCAAAATCACCCAAGGAGCAAAGCCCTAGGGTGATTATTTACATAATAGAAAGACTAATTAAGAGCAAAACTGCATGACTGATCGAAGCTCATCCCATGGGTTGTCAAAAGCAAACTGGTCATTGGAAGCCTTCTGGTTTCCCCAGAAGCTCAAAGATGATGATGATGGTGATGACGACGCAGTTACTTGATGATGAGGCTGCTGAGCCGCCGTTAATGAAGTGCTGAAATGGTTGACGTGATGATTCCTTTGATCATTATAATGATTGCTTGTACTGTAGTTATTATGAACAACAGGCTTCTGCTCTGGGCTGCATCCTCCAAAGTTGATATATGATTCTCGATCACAAGTAATAGTACTATTACAAGACTCCACAGTACTGTTATTAATGCTCATTGATCTGCTCATCTTGTCAGTGGAACGACGCTTTGCTGTGGCCAAGTGTCTCCAATCTGGTGTGCACTTTTTTTGCGTCACGGTTCTTTTGAAAATTTTACACAGGGTCCAAATTTCCTGGAGCACAAACAGAAAATCAAAGAGAGAATCGCATGAGCATCATCACCTGTTTTAGTTGACAAAGGCATATATATTGTGGATCTTTGAGTCTTACGGCTTCTTGGGGATTATTATTGGCAGGGTCATTATTGTTGGAGGGAAGGCGAAACTCGTGCATCATCCAGTCAGTTTTGGTGCCTTTGCCAGCACTGCCACGATAGTAAACGAGGGTTTTCTTGAGGCCAATGCCTTCTCCTGCAACAGAAAAGACAGGCTTGTCTATCCCTGTTGCTTTCCAGAACCCTGATCCTGTCACTCTATTCGGCCTCACACTGTTCTTGTACTTCCTTCCCCTTCTGCAGTAGAAGTACCATTCCTTCTCTCCTCCCGCATAACTGGCTTCTGCATTTATAAACTAACTAATTAATGAAGCTCGCTATAAAGAAACAAGTAAAGTTGAAACACGTTCAAGTGAATTTGATGTCAATATTGTTTCCTCCTTACCATTAACCGACCCCACCTTGCAATTAAGAACATGTTTTGATTACAAGAACAGGAATACAAACACAGGAAAACATGTTCGCCTCAAGATGGGAAATCAGTAATCATTTAGGCGTGCAAATGTACATAACTGCGTGTATATAACCCCAAAGGGTGGTCCTGGAGTACTCATAAATAAAGTAAAATGAAGGAAAGAAATCAAATAGCTGCCAGCAGCAGCAACTCAGAATGTTAGCTAGCTAGTTTATGATTTAGTTTCTTTTCCCGAAACTCTCGCCTCTTGTAAGCATCTACATATATCAGTTGCGTTACAGAGAACCCACTCTACTTTTTCTTGGTTGCACACTTCTTTATGTTTTCCTGTTTCTTAAATACCTAAAAATAATAGAAAGGGAGTGCGTGTAAGATGTGAAATCAAGAGGAAGATATGTAGAAACATACTCGGAAGATCCCAGGGGTCGTATTTGTAAATATCAATCTGCTTGATGAGTTCGATACAGATGGGTTTCTTGTCAAGCTTCCTTCTGAGGTAGAATCCCACGAGTTCCTCATCTGTAGGATGGAATCGAAACCCTGGAAGTTCAAACTCCTCTGTGCTTCCCAAATCTTCCATATGATCCATGTTTTCTGATGATCTGTGTGTTTGCTGTATACTCTTCTTTCGCGCTGAAGCAAAAAGGCCTGGCGGTAATTTCAACAAACGGGAGAATCTTCTCTTATAGTGTGGGGATTATTCAAGCCGAAAAGGATTGGTTTGGACTTGTTCTATTGTTTAATTTAAAGTACGCCATCTAAGACTCCGCATTCACTCACGAAGTTGGAATTTTTCTTTTTTCTTTTCGTCTTGGCTTTTCTGTACAAATACTTTTCTTCTCTTGTTTGGAAGCTGACAGGGACAACTATGGTCAAACCAATTAGGGCTGACTTTGACCGTAATAAAGCAGTAAAACAGGGGCATAAACGTACCTCACAGTCACAGCCAGCCAATAAGCCTTTTTTTTTTTGGGGGGGGGGGGTGTTATTTTCTCAGCAGCTACCGTTCAACCCATCCGATGAAAAGATTTTCAGGAGAGGAAACCAACAATAGCGCATATTAATTTAACTCAGTCCCTTGCTTAGTTAGTAATTAAACTAAACACGCCTGCTTGATACTAAATGAGATTTATGTACGTGTGTGTGACATCCAAGCTTAGCAAATGAGTTTATTTATTTATGTTCAACTGGCCAATCAGCTTAACATAAGAGTTTGACGTTTATAACTAATTAATTTATTAAATTCAGCCTTTCTAGAAATGTTACTGGGCAAGAAAAGGAAGGAAAAACAATCGATTTTGTCCCATACAATGCATGTAGATATAGATATAGATATATATTGAATTTTATAGTAATCAAAAGCTTATCAACAAAAACCACGTACGTGCCAAGTATTTAAGTAAGTAAGAGCTCCTTTTTCTCAACATATTCTGTCCTTAATATGAGAACTAATTATTAATAATTCAATTTGATCCTAAATATAAAATCTGAATTTATTTTTTTTAAACTGAAGATTTTAATCTATTTTATTTCTAATATTCATCTATTTCTCTTTAAATGATTCCTATAGTAATTGCATATATTAGGGAGTTTTCACAAGAAGGGTAGCTCCTATGCACATGATTAACAATAATATCTTAAAAAAGACACAACACTCATTTATTATAACTAGCTAAATCAATTGATTCCCTTAATTTTTATAAATTACTTGTGTAGTTCTCATGTTAAGGATTGGAGGTTGTATTATTGTAATTAAATTTCACTGAGCATATACGTTTATTTCAATTGATCTTATAGCACGACATCATCATGGAGAAAACATAGCACAACCACAGCCAGCCGGGGGTTCGGTTTGAGAAAAGCATGAATAGGGGGAAGCAATGGTCAAAATTACTATTTTTATATTGACTATGAAACGGCAAAACGACACGCCACTCATGCACTGTTTTCTCTTTTGACCACATTTGGTCGTAGCCATGTCCTCACCATTCTAATAATGTCTTCCAAGGATGCTTAATCAACAAAGACGAACCAATAAGGTCCCCCTCATTTATTTATATATATAGTGAAGTATTCTAAAATTAACACATCTTGGCCCTGTTTGAATTAGAATTTAAAATTGTTTATAAGCATGTTTTACGTAAGTTGAGATAAAATCTTTCTAACATACTTACTTCATATTCTGCAAATTATTATTAAAAAGCTACTTATAAGCCATTTCAAATGAGCCCTTGACACATTATTTCCAACAACAACACGTAATTTGATTTTTTGAAACAAACAACCGCTATACCCAAATATTACTACTAATTGAAATTAAATTTTTGAGTTTGATTTCTAACTCTTGTATGTGAAATAAACTTGGTTGAGAAGGCTCTGTTTTTTTTTTTTTTTTGCTTCTTTCAAGAGAAACTGATCTTTGTGAGTATCAATAAAGAATATTCTTGGTCCGAAACAAATAATGATATGATTTTCTCTATATTCATTACATATACCAGAAATATAAAATTTCATCCCTGTTATTTTTCTTAATAGTTTTCTGCATGTGTCTCAACTCTCAACTTACAAGGTTTTGCTTTTACAAAATTTTTTCTTCCAGTTTTTTTCTTTTTCTTGCCGCATTTGATTCTGAATCTAACATGATTTTGCCGATTATTAATGATATAGAAAAGTTGTCGCATATCTAAAAGATACTGCATATGACAAATCATTATTCTTAATGCGTCACCGACTCACCGTAGATATTGAATGATTTTTTTTCCCTTTTCATTTTCAATTATATTCACTTATTACAGTTACTGATTTAGCAATTATGTGATGATTTAAGATCTTACGATAAATAGGAGCTAGATTATTGGGTTTTAAATTATATATATATATATCACATTGACCGATGGTTAGTTATATATAGATATATCACATATTATTTCATCATAGAAAAAAGCAGCATATATATAATTACAATTATTTATTGAAGTAGCATGAAAAGAACCTTCCCCAAATATTGCCCAACTTCAAGACATGAGAGACCATGGGGAAGACTCCTCCAGTCGAGTCAGAGACCTGGGTGGGACACTAATATGAGAAATCTTATTTTCATGTATAGACGATTCAAAATCTGAAATGAAGTGAAGGTGGGTAGATTTAAATGAAAGATGGAAGGGGGGATTGTATGGTAACGCATGTGAAAGAAATAGATACAAGTTGGTGTTTTTAAAAGACATATACTCAGGAATAATCTACCAAATTAGTGCTTGGTCACTTGAGCTTCTTTAGACTAGGTTATTTTTTAAATTAAAAAGGTAGATACTGATAATTTGAAATTACAACTGGATCAAATTCAAAACCTGTTACTTGTAGAAAACATTCATATCATTAGGTTATAAGACTATTGATTTGGATAAAGTTTTTCCTAAGATCAAATAAAGTTATTTTGCTATCCAAAGTAAATAATCGAAGGTCTAACAATCGCTGTTGCCAAGCTCATGAATTGACTTTTCGAGCTTAATGTCTTTACATTTCTAACTTAAAAAATCATATTAACTCATTTTTAAATTTGTGCTAACTGTAAACTCAGTTAAACTTACGAACTAACTCTTTTAATTTACTTTTTTTGACGTAGTTATTTATAAAATATATGGGAAAACTTTTGGTTCAAAGGAAAAAAAATAAAAAAATAGAAGGTAATTTTAATACATTAATTTCCCTCATTTTCATGTAAGCCGGAGACAGCAGTAGATAATTTTAAACTAGTCGGAGTCAATGAATGATCGTCAATCCCTACTACAAGAGCATGTGGTTAGTGGGTCTTTTTTTTTTTTTGGCCATAACCATGTGCCCGGCGGTTAATCATACATATCAATAATTATACATCTTTCTTATTTTATGATAAAGTTACATGCACTGTGTTATAAGTTATATGTAGAAAAAAGTTTTGATTCTAAATATAAGTCATTTATAGGGTATTTACTATTTAATGATCATTTTTCACTTTTACTTATATTTAGTTTTCATCAAAGAGGAAGAAAAAAAAGTTATGATAATTTATGAATGAGGGAGAAAAAAAATTTAATAAGAATAAATTTAGAAAATTTTATCACTTTAATGTATTTTTAAACGTGTAAGAATGAGTTTCAGGTGACTCATAATAAGAATAAGAGTGTAATAAAATTTAAGAGAGGAGAAGAAATCAAGATGGTTGGTCAAAATCAAAATGTATTAATAGCAATGAAAGGATGGTTGGTCAAACAACTGACTTCAAGTTCTCTCCCACGCAAAAAATCGCCACAAAGAACAAGAACAAGTCAAGTCCTCAGTCTCCTACTGGAATAGAACCTTCTTCTTCTTCTTCCTCACAATTTATATATTAATAATAATTAATTAATTGGATTATTCGGTTGTAGTATATTCTTAGGCCCCGGGCCCCCGGCGGCTGGGCTGCTTTTCCGGTTACACACACATTTACTTGTGGAGAGACAGATCAGACAAGTATGCCAATTTGGAGACTTGACTTTGTGCAAGTTGCTTCCATTTGTGAGATTTGAACCTTCAGCTTATATAAACATCTATATATACCATTATTTTATGTTAGCATGATTGAAAATGAGACGGACCAAATTAACATTTAACCCCGGAGTGTGTGTAAAGGGTTCAAAATACGCACATGAATTGTCCAACCATGGGTAGCTAAAATATTAATTTTAGTATCTTACTATCTCCAGTCCTTAATATAAGACCTTATTTGACTTTTATTTTGGTTCTAAATATGAGACCTCAATCTACTTTGTCTCTCATATTTATGTTTTTTTTTTTCAAAATAATCCTTCTAATAATGGTAGTTATAGCCAATACACTTAATTAGCAAGAATATTTTAGAAAAGACAATACATATTTATTACAAATAACTAACTTAACTTCTTTCCTTAATCTCTTCAAATTATTCAACTAGTTTTTATAATTAGGACCGGAGGCAGTATTTGTTATGTTGCTGTTTCTCCTACACATTTAAGTGATTCAGCCTTTTCCATATAAATTTTGTGCTCTATTTGGTACTATAATGCTTGCAAATTCAGTCACCCAACTTAAGCAGAAAGGGGAGAAAACTAACAAGAAAATCTTTTCTTTTTTGAGTGATTGAGATCTATTGTTGAGTTTATATACCATTTCATTATGAATAAATGATCTTAAGTTTTCCTTTTGCCCCGAAAAACATGAGGATTAGTAGGGCAAATAAGCCTCCCAATTCTTCAGCATGTTCTCCTTATAAGACACCTTATATATTATCTCAGGTTCTAAATATAAGAGCTAGTTGACTAATTTGAGGAGATTAAAGAAATAAGTTTAGTTAGTTATTTTTAATAAACAGATGTTGTCTCTCCTAAAATATCCTTGTTAATTATATGTATTGGTTAGAACTATTATTATTAGAATGATTACTTTGGAAAAAAAATGTACAAATATAAAAGCCAAAGTGAATTGAAGTTTTACATTTAGAACCAAAATAAAAGTCAAATAAGATCTTATATTAAAGATTAAATGTAGTATATACGAACATTAATTAGTAAGTGTATTTTTGAGGGGTTGAAAAAAAAGAAAAAGAAAAGGGAAAGTAACCCTTAAACCCGATCCAAAGGCGGAGACATGATGTGAGTAAGGATTGCAACTAAAGTTGGTTATGAATTAACGAATTAATAAATTGGGCTTTTCCCTCTTGGGCCTGTCCCTTTTACTCTGACCAGCGATTGTTATTCCATCCATATTCAATCTTGGGCCGCACGAGTAGTCCCAAACGTTTAGCCCGGTTTATTAGCAACCTTGAATCCCACTGCTTGGATGTGGTTATCCACTTAAAAAAGTTCTTTCTACGAATTTATAAAATAATAAAAAAATTGAAATACCATTCCAGGCTGGGGAACAAAACGACATCCAATTTTAATGAATTGTTAGCCATATGTGCTGATTCGAAATGCCATTAACTAAAAAGTTAATAATGGCCCTCCTAGGAAGCTTCCTCCCTCTAGAATTGCACATGCTTTTTAAGCTTGTGGCAAGACATATAGAGAGGGGCTACAATAAAAGGCTATATGAGGGGCACTGCCTCCCCAAGATTTGAGTCAGAAGCGTCTCCAGAGCTCAACCTCTCCCAAAAAAAGGGAAAAAAAAAAAGGTGGGTTAATGCTTGAGGGGAATAGGAACCTTGGATGTTCAAGTTTAATTTGTTTTCAGATTTCTGAGAAAGTTTCTTTCCGTCGTAGAATTTCTGACAATTGATTAGGTTGTTTGGTAAACAACTTCTGCGCTGTGCTATATGTTGCAGGAAATTAAAACAGTTGAGAAACACAGTTTGTGACGGCGAGAATTGGACAAAATGTTAGCAGCAAACTTGAGAACCAAGGTCTGCCTAACTAAGTTGATTTGATTACAGTCTAAAGATTAAGAAACTGTCTTAAATATATATATATATATATATGTTTATTTGTGTCTAAAGTTTAAAAGAGAAGCCAATCATCATAGAGGCTTTCTCAACCAAAACTATTAATTACTGCCGCCTTCTTCTAGGAAAAAATGATAGAAAAATCTTCAACAAACTCACAATTAACACAGCCTAAACTAGAAATTAACCTTAAAAGGGTATCGAAGTACGAAATTCACAAATTAATTATTATGAATGTTTTCCAACTTACCACTTAAATAAGAGGTAAGCACACAACAATTAAAGTTATTATTTTCACATCTACTCTATGCATGATTTGGACAAAACGATGATACTCCTCCGGTCTTTAATATAAGACCCATTTAACTAATTTAACTAGATTAAGGAAGTTAGGTAAGTTAGTTAATTATAAGAAAAATGACACATTTTTCCTAAAACAACATAATCATCTTTCTTAATACCTGCTCTCCTTCTTCTACTTGATTATGGTTGAGGGAGTATCTATAGGGGTAATTTAAAGAAAATTGATAAATATGAAAAATATATCTTATATTTAGGATCAAAACCAACTCAAGAATTAGGTCCTATATTAAGGACCAGAGAAGTACATAACTTACCTACAACATGCAGATGATATTTATAACCTATTGTTTAGTACCTAGTTACAACAAAAAATTAAACATGAATATAATCAAGAATAACATAAACTGCCCATAGCCGTTCTTTTCCTAGCTAGGCTTGGCTGGATATATGTCGAAGCTATTAATCGTAATTGAATAAGAGTATTAATTGAATAATAAAAAGGTTTCGTTCCAATAATTAGGGTGAGAGAGAGCTAGAGAGGACAAAGGTAAGCACATCCAAATATCAAATCCATCTCATACTATTTGATCCATCAGAGAAGATAAAAAACGAGTGGTAGCAGTACTGAACTCCTGATAATTGAGATTAATTAACGTCATGTGACCTTGAATAATTTAATTAACTTAACTAATCTCCTAATCAAAATACCTTTTCATTATTTGTTCAATACCTCCCACGGGGCGGCTTGGCACAATCCAGATGCTCCGTAAAATCATTGGCTTTGAATAGGAAACTACGGCGGACTGGCTGAAATGGAAAATATATATTAAAATAAGATGAGAAATATAATTAAATTGATGCATTTGTATAGATGAAATTTTTAAATTTACAGAACATAATATGACTTGCTAAAAAAAAAAGGAAGTTGGTTATATTTTTATTTTATTTTATCAGATTGGAAAAATATTCACAATTTTTTTGAACATTCTGACTTAAAATCTCCGCCTCGATCTCTGCATCTGAATTTTCAGTGTAGGATCTCTCAAGAAATCACTACAAATTAAATCAGAAAACCTAAAATAATGACATAGGTTTCTATAATTTGAGCCAATAATTTAGCTTCAATATCAAGTTAAGCAACATAAACGGAAAGCAAATATATATATATATTTAAAATAGTATCCAGACAATATTAACCCATCTTAATCCCTTAATTGAAGAGATAGAAGATACAATATTATATAAGATTTCTTCCCAGTAAGACATTATAAGATATTGCCCTCGCCAATATATATAATTACAGTAAATATATATTACTATCTTCAATGCTTAATATAAAAGCTAGTTTGACCTTTATTTTGATCATAAATACAAGACTTTAATATATTTTGTTTATCATATTTATTTATTTTTTCCCAATATAGTCCTGGTAGTAATAGTAGTTGTAGCTAATATAGTTGATTAATTAACAAGAATATTTTAAGAAAAGTAATACCTATTTATCACAAATAACTAATTTAACTCATTTTCTTAATCCATTCAAATTAAACAACTAATTCTTATATTAAAGATGGAAGTTAGTATTAAAAAGCGACACCTTTACGATCTCACCTTCAACATTCATACGGCTGAGAGACCATTAGATGGGTCATCAAAATTTAATGAATCAGCTAACACTTTAATCTGTCTTTGTCAAGTGAGTAATTACGTATTATCAGTACCCTACTTGTCAACCACTTAATATGTAGTGCGTGTGCCATATGTGTCTTGATTCGATGCACGCATCTTCACTTTTTTTTTCATATTCATTTTCTTTTTTTCCTTCCCTAACCTCTCTTCCAGCTCTTCACTGCTTCTGCTTGGTGCTGTCATTTCCAATTTAAAGTACAACATCACTGACTAAAAAGAATGAGAACATTATAAACCATGTGAATTAAGTCTCACAACTTATGTTTTTTGGGCAACAGGAAGTTTAAATATTTATGAAATTCAGAATTCCTCTGGAAGAACTTAATATCCAGTTGTAACAATTTTCTGAATTCACTTATCATTTCAATAATTATTTAAAAACAAACTCTCATATGAACTGATATGATCAATATAAATTCTACAGGAAGCTGCAATATTCATAGGAAATGAACCGTGTCATTCATTTAAAACTCCATCCATCAAAAGTCCACAATTTACTTTTTGATCCTTTGTTAACTTAAGTACTTATATGTTGACAAAAGGAAAAAAAAACTTCCATGTGTGTGCTGTAAAAGAATGAAGAAACTGATGCGACACACATAATATGAATGTGGGGGCAAAAGCTCTCATCAAATACGTTTTTCTTCCCAACAAAATCTAGGGCTTCTTCTTTGGTGGGACCCTTTAAGATTTGCTCTGTCACATACTTCTCTTTTCTTATATAATATCACCTACTCTTCCTCCTCAATCCCCCTAGCTTCTTCCCTTCCCCTAAGATTTCCCTTAGTTTCTCTTTTCTTTAAACCTCCTGCAGCTTAATAAAATTACATCAATCAACTCATTGGAAGAATATTCATGAAGGAAGGTGGTAGAAAACATGGCGCAATGTCGCCATGTGCCGCGTGCAAGCTTCTCCGGAGGAGATGTGCTCAGGACTGCCTCTTTGCTCCTTACTTTCCTGCGGATGAACCCCACAAATTTGCAAGCGTTCACAAGGTTTTTGGTGCCAGCAATGTCAATAAAATGTTACAGGTTCAATTCTCTACTTCATACTACATATAATGTTATCATTTTCATTCAAAAATCATATGCAGAGTGGCGCTGTTTTATGTTAATTCAAGTCTTTTTCAGCTCTTGTTAGGTAATTAAGAAAAGGAATTCACTGTTTATGAAAAACTATTTACGACTTACTCCTTAAAATATGACCTTTACACTTCGGTTATGGTAAAAAGGGGAAGGAGAAAGTTTTCAACTGCCAGTATATAGTTATAGGTTTTTCCAGAACTACACCAGCAGGAAAAAAAATCTGTATTGTGTGTGTGAGAGAAGGGGGGGAGAGAGTGTGTGTGTATATGCATGTGTGGGGTCCTACTACAACGGTTATTTATTCAAACGTAACCCAAAACTGGACTTTTTCTTCATTCACTGATAGCAACTTCAAAAATTATGGCTTAATTGGAAGGATATTTCAGTGTGTGGCTGACATTAGATCATTAATTAGGCATATTTATGCTGTGTTTTCTAGCTCTTCTCTCTTGATCATCATTCTTTGATTTATACATATATAATATTATATATCCTGCTGTGTATAATCTTTTGTTTTGCTCACCTAAGGAACCTACCAAGGATGCATATATTATTGTTGTACAATGCTTTAGTTTGTCAGATTCTACGGGCTCTACTAATTTGTTTCTCGATCTCCTTAAATTGTAGAGCTAACTGCGGATTTCAATTTGTTTGGCTCTTGGTTTATTAATTTCTTTCTTAAGCAGCAAACTTACTTTAGTGAGCTCTTATTCCTTTCGGAGAAGACAGTAGTTATGCACCCAAAAAGAGCAAAGTAAAAAAAGGGGGGAATCTTTCTTTTTGGTTTCTGCTTTTAGCGTCTAGTTCTGTTATAGTGGTTAATTACGGTTGAAGGCCCCACCCTTAATTAACTATAATTATCATTCTTCTTTATTAAAGTAAGCTGCTAACATTACACCAACTGATTCGTCAGCACATATATATAAAGACTAAAGAAAGATAACAAAGGATCGAGTATTGTAAATGAGCTTTGCTGCGTCTTGAAGAGATATTCTCAAATGGCAAGATATTCTTTGTGTGGATGTGTAAGGGAGGGAGGTGGGGGATCAATTATACTGTAGGTTAATTATAGAGTTAAATATATTCCGACTTTGTTAAATACCTACCTTCATGACCACCTCGTAGCTTTTTAGTCAAGACTGCTAGCTGCCTTGTTGTTCAATGTTGTCGTAGAAAGAAATTAAATTATTGACATGCTCATCTTTTCTTTTTTGTCTTCAAAACCATGGGTTGCATTGATAGGGACTCTTTATAGAGCACACGCCCAAAAGAGACGTTGATTTTCAATAAAACACTAGCACTTTTTTTTTTTTGCAAAATCTTTGTAATATATGAAATATATAGAAGTATTTATTTTGTAAGCATGACATCTTGATGACATCTTATATATCATCTCCCTTTCCTACCCATCTTTTGTTTATTTTAGTAGGCTAAGATGCATGTTGACAGACTAAGCTCTAGCTGATTTTAATCACAAACAGATAGATACATATTTTATATGATAACAGATATTAGAAAACGTTACTTCTTCTAAAAAACAACAAATAATGGTAGAATCAATTGATTTGTAAATACTAAGGTCAAATCAATGTATAGCGTTGCCCATCATAACTCTGAATTCCAGCATGCGACCGAGAAAATAATTGCGGGGTTAACTTTTGGTTCACGAAACAATCCAAATTTCAACACGGCTTCACGTTCCAGTCCATTGAACCGTTCAAAGAAAAGCTAAAGTCAAGACAACATAAATAATCTTGTAGCTAGCCAGCCACTTATCTACTATATCTTCTTTCGGTCCAAAATTAGCAAGCACACAACTTTATCATCTACGAGACAGATATGGAACTGCTTTTTGACTAAGCTAAGGATTTGTTTCCAATCAAACCAAGCATGCAGCCTCTAGCTAGCTAGCTAGCTTCCCCTTATGTCACAAGCTATATATGTGCTTCACATGGATGTTCATAGCTAAATGTGATCATGTCTATTTTTTTTCCCCCAAGTATGTAATTGTGAGTGATTATATTGTAGCATAAGTGTCTTGAAAATGATGCATGCAGGAACTGCCAGAGGAGCAAAGGAGCGACGCGGTGAGTTCAATGGTATATGAAGCAAATGCGAGGATGAGGGACCCAGTGTATGGATGTGTGGGGGCCATATCGTGTCTTCAGCAACAGGTCGATGTGCTTCAAACACAACTTGCTCTTGCTCAGGCTGAGCTTGTTCACATCAGAAATCACAACCAACCTTCTTCTTCTTCCTCAACCCAACCCCAATCTTCTTCCCATGACGCCAAGTCCTCTCTTTTTGCCGTCGGCAATGTCACCGAGTCGTTATGGTCTTGCTAATGAAAGACACAAACAGAGATGGAATTAAGTGATGTTTCACCATTCTCTTTATCTCTCTCTCTCTCATATCACTGGACCATGCATGCGGTGGCTAGCTAGATTGAGCTATTATTTGGCTGATTACTATAGCTAGATTAGTTAAGCAGCAATAAGGAGAATTAGATGTATATGGGGCATGCTTTGTTTCATTATTATTGTAATTATTACTATCACGCCTTTGCTTTCAACTGTTTGCCTCCTTGTAGTTATTAATTTCTACACCTTCTGCTTTACTCTGTATTTGCATCCCTCTCTTTTTTTCCGCTGACTGATCTATTTGCATAACCCTGGATGATCGTGATTAATTATTAACCTCAATGTAAATTATCAAATTGTAATTATTAGTAATCATATGTTTGTCGTGTGTCATCTGTGTATCAATTAATTTGACCCTCGCACGTCTTGTTTTAAATTGTTATTATACGATTTTTGGAAATCAAAACTTTTATATATACACAAAGAGTCAAAAGAATGAGAAAGAAGACACATGGAAAGAAAATTTTAATTAGTACTTCGAGTTTTTAATATAAGAATTAATTTAACGTTCATTTTGATTTGATTCTAAGTATATAACTCCAATGTATTTTATCTCTTAAATTTATCTATTTTTTTAAAGTAATCTTTGTAGTAGTTATAGGTTTTATCAAATTATAATTTTAGCTTATACACAAGATAAGCAAGGCTATTCTAAAAAAGATAACGCATATTTATTACAAATAGCTAACTGAACAAACTTTTTTAATCAACATAAATTAGTTAATTAGCTCTTATTAAAGATCGAGGGTAGTAAAACAATAGCCAATAGTTTGTTCCATTAAATGTTAGGCCTTTTTTATATATTTGAATTTTTTTAAATTCCCAAATATATACATAATTAATTAAGCTAATGTTTCAAATAATAACATTCAGTCGACAAAGTCAATTAAGCTACAATAAATTTACATTATTTTAGGGTCTAAACAACATATATATACACCTACTAATATTTCTAAACAATTTAATAATTGATATGCTTATGCTTTCAAAAGTTATGATCGGCGTGAGATTTATATTATGATGCTGTTTTCTTCTTCTGTTCTGTTGGGTCCATCATAACTGTTTTGAGTTCCTTTTGGTGACAAGGTGACAGTTTCTCGGCCTGCTGGTTTTCCCAGTTTAAGATTTCTTTTCACGCTTAAAAAAAAAAAAAACTGATTAATTAGGTGTGCTTGGGAACACATAATATAATCACATCATCATCGTAATAACAAAACACAACAAGTAACAATAATAACATAATCAAATCACCTACTTTACCGAAGCATGCTGTTGTCCGCCATAATAATATTGAAAGTTTTACAGCTATTGTACGGAATGGTGAAAACATTTCATCATCATCATCGGCCGTCAAAAGTAGTAATACCAGCATCAAAACCATATTATAGTATACCCCAATGAGATTAATTAATAAGCTAACACTACCAATATAAAATTGAACATGATTAACGGCTCTCCCTAATTACTAAGCCTTGGGCGCATCTTAATTATGACGTATCATTAAAACATTCATCAGATGACTCGAAGCTTTAATTTAACACACACTATTGTATAGGAACTAAATGATGAGCCCTCCAGCCTAAAATTATTGTTATATAAACAAGCATGCTATTAATTAGTTTCTTTTGAATCCAACTCTATATGGTGTAAACAAGCTGCTATTAATTATTTTTTTTTTCCTATTTCGCGCCGAGAATAAAATATTGAGCTTTTTAATAAATTTCACTCACTTCCTTTTAATTAACCCATACAGTCGTTGAGTGAGTCATTTTGTGTGTTAATATATACTCCTCCAGTCTTTAATATAAGATCTAATAAGAAGTTAATGCTGGTCCTATATGTAAGATCTATTTCATATGTTTATTAATTTTTTTGTTAAATCAACCCTATTCATATTCTCCTAACAATAATCAAGTAGGAGATGGAGGCAGAAATTAAGAAAAATACTTAGTGTGTTTTACAAAATATTTATAAGATTAACTAATTTAACTAACATTCTTAATCTACTTAAATTAGTTAATTAGATCCTATATGAGGAGTGCATAATACTAATAATTGTACGAACTTTTATATCTATTTAATTTCCTCCCAGCCAATACGATAAAGTGACCCACTTCCGATATTTTCCCATAAAGCGTGAAAGGAACATCGCAACAATAATCTAATGCACCAAAAGATCAATCCCAAGACCAATTTGTCCATCATCAATAATTTTAAAATTAAATCACTATCTAATCTGTTCATACTAATGGCCAATCACGGAGATCCTTTGAGCTTTGGCGGGTTTATTGCAAATTCTGAAAATTTCGAAGAGGGATCAAGACTTGGTGGAAAATTATGTTTTTTTTCTTCAGTGTACCAAAATGCTCTGCCTCATCCTCGACGTCGGAGCCAGCAACTCCCTCAACAAAAATGTCTCTACAAAGAAGAAGAAGAAACTCCATGATCAACGGGGAGGGGCATTTTTGTCCACCCAAGAAAATAATTTTCCCCCTCAAAGACGTTGATTCTTCTTTGAGATTTATAAAAGTTGATGATGTTTAAATAGTTAATTAAATATAACTAAAAGTCTGGGAGATTCTGAAAACGTCATTTTCCCAATTCAAGCAGTGTGGGCACGCGGTCTCTATGAGTTTACGGGCAATAATTCAGTCAGTCGTCAATGTCAACCGAACAAGTCATATGGTTGTTTACAAAGGCCCAAAAGCCTATTTCTTTATGGACTCAATGGCCCAAAACCTCAATCTTGTTCACATTTCAAAGAAAACACAGACTGCTTTCTGGGGTGCGTTAGGCTCTGTTAGGCTAATTTTAAAGTTCAAGTGGACGCTCTCAACGAATATTAAAAAAAAAAAAGAAGGGACAAACACAAAGTTGAAATGGACCTTTTGTTTTGCAGAAAACACAAAAGGACGTTCCCAACACTGCTCTAAAATAAAGGCAAATCAAACCATGAAGGTTGATAGTGAACAGGCATTAGGAGGCGTTTGGATGAGTGAAAAAGTATTTTTGAAAGTATTTTTTCAAAAATTAAAGATAAACCATCCACATATTTACTTTGTACATCGTAAAAGTATTTTTAAAATCATGATTTGTTTTCACTTAAATACTTTTTAGATTGGTTGGGCTGCGAAATCTCAAGTTTCCTTGTTTTCTCCCATGATTCTTCACCCATTGTAGATTCTTCTTCACAATCACAATAAGGAATGATTAGTTTGGAGGAACATAGATTTTTACAATGTATTATGAATCTGAATTTGTATAATATATGAATTCTTGTACGTGGCCCATTTTGAAAATCAACATTCCGCTAGAATTAAAACTATAAGAATAGACAATGGGACGGATTGCGTCTGCTAACAAATTAGGAAGTGCGAGACTTCCTTTGTTTTTTTTTTAATAATTGAAAAAATAGGACAAATTTCTGAAATGAAAAAAAAAAAGTAGAAGAAACTAGAAAGCATCATTATTTCAGTGTCCAAACATGCCTCCTAGCTCGCAACATTGTCTCAAACATGTCCTCCTCATTTATTAAGCCATATATAAATCCATGCCAAATCTGGACTATGTGTAGTAGATTTTCAGTCTAAGAAAAATAATTGTGTTTGGAAATAAAAGGCATGTGAGTGAAATTTTAATATGTTAAAAAATTGCATATGCTTTTCAAAGAATATTTTGGGCAAAATGCAAAGAGGTAATTAAGACCATATGCCAAATCTTTGTTTAATCTGTGGCATTCTTTTGTTCTTTGTAATTATACGTGGTTCATATAAAAGAAATCATGAGATAAGGCCATTTACATTGTCACCGACAAAAAACACATTTTGATTCCAACTTTTGCGTTACTTTGGAGAAGAGAAATAGAATGAAGCAATAATTGGCCTTCAACTATTTCAACATGTTGAGGCCAAAGATTAAAAAAAAAAAAAAAACTATTGAACATGTTTTCCAGTTCATCATATCTGCTGCTTCTCTTGATCCGGCCACTTCACTAGCTCCTCACTACTTATTTTGCCCTCCTTTCACTTGAAGGGACACCAAACTTTAATCACTTTTATTTTGTCATTAAATTACAAACACTTCTAAGCTTAATACGTAACGGTAACAATGACCCAATTTACCCCACTTTATTACTTATGTTGAATTCCGATTATTATAATTTGCACACACACACACACACACAAAATTAAGAGAGCGAAATTCCAAATTAAAGTATAAGTGTGAAAATGTATACAACTCAAAATCTTGAGTGAGAGAGAATGATTGAAAAGCATAGTGGATAATGGCATGTGATAAGAGGGGACGACTTAAAGAGGAGAAATGAGAGAATAATGTTCGATTCACTATATATGTTAGTGCTTTCTTACGACTGGGAGAAGCCTTGCTTGTGACACCCACCCATTTGCCTTTTTCTTTTCGTTTCTTTTGTGTTCCTGGTTTCCTTTATTTCCACACACACAGTACTCTTATAATAGTCTCTCTCTAATTTGTATGTAGCTGTAAAAATTTGGAGAATTGGAATCATTCTCATTCATCTTGATATATGGAGAATGGCAATATTTAGTTTGGCTTACCCTCTACCTCTTTTCTTTTACAGTTACTCGGAACAAGCATCATGTCCACCACACAACACACACTTATTAAGGTCTTTTTCACCCATATTGAGACAAGGAAAATCCGAAGTATAAAGTTACATTATAAGTAGCGTGAATATAAATAAAACGGTAATGACCAAATACAGAAGTTCAATAAAGAAGAACAAGAGTTTGAATATTCCAGATAAAAGTGAATATATAATATATATATATATATATATAGGCATTCACTCATAAATTGGGGTTCGAACATATATATATATATATATATTATTTGTTGTGCATGCATGCTGACCTGCACATCAAAACTACTTCATCTGTGCTGCACGCATGGCAAATGCATGCCCAAAGCAAATAGAAGATTGATGAGATCCTTGTTAAAATTACGTTTTACTTTAACTTGATTATTATTAAAGATGACATGCATGGTAATTAACTTGAGTTGTTAAAAAGGATAAGAGTGCAATTTTGACCCTAACCTTATTTCTCAAGTAAAATTTTATTTTTGATCTTTTAGCAGTGCTATTTTAATCCTCACTTTACTTTTTAGGTACAAT